AAGATAGAAGAATTTATATAATCTATATACTACTTATTCTATTATATCTAATATTCTAATAAATTATAAGCCCGAACTTGACGCTTAAAATACCACCGCTATTCTATATCTATTCTAGTTAGTTATAAATCCCGAAACCTTTATATTTAAGTCATCTATTCGTTAGCTTACGAATAATAACTACTCTAAATAGCTTATCGATATTAAAGCTCTTCTTAGAGGTAAAAAGCTCTAGAACTATACTTAAGAGGCCTCGGATTTTAATAAATTAGTTATGATTTAAGCTAAATAGCGTAATTTAGTAATAAAGATTATAGATCTTATTATCTCTATTATAAGTAGCCTTATTAAATAGAAACTTTAGGCTAACGCTTTTAACGATAATTATCTTATAATAAACTCTTTAGTTAATATCTATACTCTAAAAGATAACGTCGAATTTATACGATTAATTCGAAAGTATTACTCGCTTCGATATAAAGATTTCGACTTTATAACTTACTATCTTACTTATATTAAGACGCTAAAAAAACCTATTCGAGGGATTAATATAATTCTTAACGATAATAAATAGACTCTCCTCTATCTCGATATAACTCTTTTAGAAGAATTTTAGTATTTTATTAAAATTTGGGCTATAACGCCGGGGATAACTGTTAATAAAGCGAGGAATATATTATTAGAGAAGGAGAGACGTTAAAAGACTCTAGATATAGGCACTGTGGATACTAAGAGAGTAGGGCTAATTATAATAATTAGATATTCGAATAAGAGAACTTCTAGCGGAAAGGCTATCGTTAACGATATAATATATCCTCGCTATGAGAAGGGTTACGAAGCGGATATCTATTGAAAGTTGCACCCGAAATTAATCTCGAAATGGTTGCAAGAAAGATAAACCATTAAGAAGAGATCTCGGAAGCGGAAATAGGACGAGTTATAGTAGTAGGATTAAGAGGTATTAGATAAAGAAGGGGCGTTTATTAACTTATGACGGCCAGGAAGGCTTATTGGTAAGGCTTGTCGGTAACGGTTAGAAAGGCTTGTCGGTAACGGCTAGGAAGGCTTGTCGGTGATGGTTAGGAAGGCTTGTCGGTATTAGATTTGGGTATAGTATCATGTTTTTGATTAGGCTAGGGGAGATAGGTCACAGGGGAGTATCAAAATAAGGTTCCTAGCCTCCTCTTAGCCACCTGTTGGAATAACCACCTAATTTGTGAGGGGTATAAATACTGGCCCAGGGGAGTCCTGAGATAGAAGAATTCATGCAATCTACACACTACTTATTCTACCATACCTGATATTCTGACAGACTCGACTAAGATGCCGTGACATTACTGATTTGGGCTCATGATCGTTATGTTTCACATTCCTATTCAATTTGCTGCTGCGTGGGTGGCATGGGTAGTGGGTCCAACGGTGCCTTGTTTGACCGTGAAAAAGGCTCAGACTTTGGCATCGATACTGCCGTATACTTGCCACTGCTGGGAAAGGGCAGACACAGAGGCTATATAGGTTGTTATAGGACCACTGACTGTCATACAAAGGAAAGACTGAAGTTGGAAACGAGCAAGGTTCAACTAGCTTCTTGGCGGCTCTAGTGTCTCTACAGAATATTCATCGAAATGGACGTCTGTCAGTCGATATTGATAGATCAATGAATCTTCAGGTTTCCTAGTTTTTCGAAAAACAAGAGATAGAGCCGGATCGAAGGACATTTTGGGATGTCGTGGATCTAAAGGGTTCGAAATGTCAAGAGTACGATGCCGCCGAAGTGCATGACCCTTATCTTACCACGCTGATGGCACATCCAGAGAACGCATCGTTAAGCCATGTAAACCATTTCCATTCATGTATCCTTCCCTGGTCCACATCCACGATCCGCACACCCTCTTGACATCCAAGCATTCCATGTCATATCCCAAGCCACTCATGCCCACCTCTGCCATGCTCTCAGGAATCCTCTGCCTGCCACATCCCATCAATCCAGTTGTAGAAAGTATGGTTCACCTGTGTCTGGACCGAGGACTCAGTATCCTGCGTGTCTCTTGATCCTGAAGGCGTGTCTGGCTGTGGCCTTGGCAATCCAGGTTGTATGTGAGTAGTACCAGCTGGCTGCGGTGCCTTTTGTAGATGCCTCAAATGTGGGAGGACTGTAGCACGTCGCTGAGACTGATCTTGCATGCGAAGACGCTGACTGACTGGATTGCGCGGAAGGTTGGGCTCGAAGACCCCATGACCCGAGGGAGCAGTTGACGTCGCTGTCTTGTCGACCACTGGAGATTGGCTAGGACTAGGAACAATGCTCGAGTGGGGGTGGAAGACGTTTTGGCCCAGGCGATCGGCGGAAGCCGGAGCCTCGTTGACCACTCGAGGGTGGCTAAGAGTAGGTACAAAGCTCGAGCTGGGTTGAAGAGGCCCACCACCCAAGTGAGGAGTGGGAGCTGGTGACTCACTGACCACTTGTGACTGGCCAGGAGTAGTGACGAAGCTGGTGCCCTGGCCTGCTCCAATGGTAGGTAGACGGACTTTGGGCCGTATGTGTCGAAACTGATGCTGGTGTAAATGCAAGCTTGAGGGTGTTGACGGCGGCGTATGTTGCAGCCAATTGCTTGGCCCCCAAGATGGGCCGCGAAACAATGGGCGCCCCAGAGACCCATATCTATCTTTGTACGCCTGAAGCTCACACTCAAGCGCGTGAATATTCGCTTTTGCGTCCTTCAGTAGCCCGTTTTGGTTCCTGATGAGATGGGCGGCGTCGACGTTGGCGGTTGATTCCAATGATAGCCTCATTTCATGCTCGATGGACCATAGTTGGATCGATTCGCACACAATTTCTTTCTCTGCTTCCAGCCTGGTCTTCTCTTCTTCTTCTAAGTGTATAATACGCTCTCGAAGGCTTTGTATCGTAAAGGCATCTGCCTCAGCTCTCTGCCCTTTGGATACTTCCTTGCGGAGCTCGCCAGTGTCGGCAGAGGCCTGAGCTTCGAGATCGCCGGCAGTATCTTTCTGCTCAACGACTTGCTTATCTCCCTGCTTGCCCTTCAGTCTTTGCTGTTCTCCAAACCGCTTACTCTGATCTTGGAGGATTTGAGCAGTTTTCTCCAACGCGGGAAGGCTAGTATCGATATTAGCCAGAGCTTGGACACTCGACATATTGTCCGTGGTGCGTTCCGTAAGTTTGAGTGTGGTATTGTCGCAGAATAGCTACGGGCGGGTCTTTGAGGATGTGTAGAACAGGAATAAGATTCAATGTCGCAGGTAGAATTGGATAACGAATATGCTGGCGTCGCACCGTGAGCTCTAGGAAAATTTGAAGGGTCGACTGCAATGGATATAGCTGGTGTGCATGTAAAAGCTCTCTGGCTGATGGTACTGGTGTTATTTAGTAGGCAAGTATCAGTAAAGGACTTCCATAGAAGAGGATAGTATCGCCGAGAGATAGAAAGTTGAATGCTAGGAAAGTATCTTGGACGTCAACGTTGGAAGATATGTCCGGATACCGTTGTATCGCAAGAGTAGGGAGTGAATCGGCGAACTTCGTGAATACTTGTAAGACTGTCACGTACTAAGCTCGTGCATCACTTTTAGGAGAGCTCACAGGTTAAGCATTCACTTCAAGCACACCGACCAGCCCTCACATCAGCCCAGCTCCGACCGGCCCAACTGGCCAAAGCTCGTGCATCACTTCTAGAAGAGCTTACAGGTTAAGCATTCACTTCAAGCACACCGACCAGCCCTCACATCAGCCCAGCTCCGACCGGCCCAACTGGCCAAAGCTCGTGCATCACTTCTAGAAGAGCTCACAGGTTAAGCATTCACTTCAAGCACACCGACCAGCCCTCACATCAGCCCAGCTCCGACCGGCCCAACTGGCCACCAACTCCCAACATTTCATTACCCGGTTACCGGCTTGTTCTCCTTAAGCGACAGTCCCATCCTCCGCAAACTCCCAGTTGATCTTGGATTATTTTTGCTTTCGTTTAGTTGTATGCCAGCAAAAGGAGGATTTCACCCCGACAGGACAGCGATTTATGGTCGGTGTGAGAATACTCCCATTGACTGTTTTAACCACGTCTCTCCTTGTCGCCAGCGGTTAATCCTAGTAAAAATTTAGTGGCTTACAATCCACAAGCACGCATGCAGAATCAAAGAACGCAGATAGAAACAAAGACCTTGCAACTTTTGTGATCTGACCTGTAGATCTATTTTCATTAGTTCCAATGATCAAGACTTTACTCACCTGGTAATCCAACGCATTAAAAGCCGGCTGTATCTTGACAATCACCGTCTCCAGATCGAAGCCGACCTGCCTCACCAACGAGCTGCTCGCCTGGATGTGAAAGAGAAACGTTGTGATCTCTGCTAGAAGTGGGAATCAGGCAGCAGCTCACCTGCAAACGGACGCTTCACTCTCGATCCTATCCCGGCCGCGCGATTGTAGGACGGCGGTTACTCAAGACCCAGTTTAGGGGTGAGCGAGCGGCGCGCATATCGGCAGTAATCTTAACTAACGTCTAGCGATTGAGCTCTTATAGCGACAGTGCAACCGATTTGCAGCGTCCTTCTTTTCTCCGATTCACGAAATTACAGGCTTAGATCATAGCGCAAGGAGAGATAAGCTTCAACATGCGACATGGAGCATGATTGAGCGAGAATAAAGGCGCAAGAATATTTCGCCTCAACAAAGGCATTCCCAACCGCCTTCAACGATGATATCGACTTAGCACATCTGCAGTCAAGAAGACCTGCTCCAGAGCAGAGCTTAATTTCCACTATGGCGTCATGCTTCACGTTCATCATGATCCTCCTACTGCAGACCATAATGATCTTAGCATCTCCCCTCCAGTCTGCATCACACTCGTCAACCCAGCACCTCTTCAAACGCAGCACCTACGTACCGTTTCGTTATCCACCTCCACTACACTCTCTGACAAGGGCTCCAGGAACTTAGCTGCCTCCCAGGACTCCCACCAGGCCCCTACCCTCCCTCCCTCAACATGCACCCCTCAGGCACCAACCCCGACGGCAGCATGATCCTCTCCTTCTCCGACTTCTGGGGCGAGCAGCAACAGCTCTTCCGCTTGACTGACCTTTGTGACCGCGCAGGCTGCCACTGCCAAGGCGCCGAGATGCTGTGTTTCAACTGGGGCTACGTGTTATTCGAGCAAGCCTTGTATGAGACGTATCGGGAAGATTGCGAGAATGCCTGCTGGTGCCAGGAGGAGGCATCGACCGAGTCAGATTCAGAGTCGGACGATAGCAGTGTCTCGTGGTCAAGTTCCGACACTTGGTCGAGTGCGGATTCCACGTCAAGGGATGTGGATTGGGCGGCGGAGAATGCACAGTTGTTGAGGAATTATTATGCGAGTGTCGTTAGGACATTTGATACTTCGACTGGTGTTGCCCCAAACAGGCTCAACAATGGTATTCCATGCCGAGCTGGTCAAGCGGCAGGGTGGGTATTCGCAAGCGGTGCATCTGGCAAGTGCTGTCCAGGATATTCCTACACCGCGCTGACTGCATCGGAGGCATATGTGCTCTATGGACTTCCGATTGGGTCTATCGTGGCTGGTGTGAGGTCGATTGGCATGTGCTTGAAAGCCGTGTCAGGGTGAGAAGAAGCTCAAACACAGTATTAGACGCGTCCGTGTGCTTGACTGGACGTCATGGGCCCTAAGACTGCAATTATTTTTGCCACTGCTAGCCAAACCTGCCCAATGAGGTCTAAGGCCTCGAGTCAACCATACATCGAACCCCAATGTGTCCTCAAATCACGACGCTTCTTAGTCTACCTCCCGTTTATGCCCGCCTCAAGTTCCCTGCGGCCCACGTATATGTAGACAACGAGTGGATTACCATTGCGCACATCGCCTCCGAAACCATTAACATAAGAGAGTGCGTACCCGAGACGATCGAAAGCCTAGAAACACTTCAGTACCTCGGCCTTCACCAGGATGCCGCATTAGAAGCCTTTGGTGCGTTCGCCCACAAGTGCGAATTCGCAGAGTAGGTCAACATAGAATCCATCGAATGGGCGAAGAGACACGTCTGGAACCTTCCAGATGGCTCTGAGGACGATACAGTTTCCGAATGGGATGACGTGATGAGAATCATGGGCGTGCAGGACTTGTGGAGAAATGCCATTCTGGACCCGAGGTTCGCCAGACCTCGAAAAGAGCACACTGCGAGGCACTGGGTCATCCAGACGATGGAGGAGAAATGGAAACACCTGGTTGAGCTCGATCAGAGGATGAAGTTGGATCCAGCTGACATCGAGGCAGTAAAGCATCGCATCGGATACAGGGCAAATCTGCTAAGAAAGTATGCCGTCAATGGTAGCGATAGCTTTGAATGAACGTTGCAGAATGTGGCTCTTGGATGTCTGGTAATTGCTAGGCGACGACTCCCGTTGTGGCAAATGAAGAAGATATCAGAGTAGACACAGGACGTACATTAGAGACTGCCTGACAAACACAATGGTAAGAAGTCGATTTTGTGTTTGTTGTGCTCTGTCAGTGAGTGACAGGGTTGCCCATCTGCTACGATAAAGCCCTCAGGCGAGTCCTTAAGGTATCACGGCGTGTTTGCCTGGCGATCCGCTCCTCTTTTAGTTCATGCCGCAGCCAACGCCTAAGCTCAGGTCAAGCTCGTTGCCACCCACATCCTGAGATTGAGATTGCTGAAAGGCCTAGGGAGGGTCTCCAATGCCTATCAAACATCTTGCGACCTTCTCGCGGCCAGGATGAGATTATCTACAGAACTTCGCTTTCGCATACGACATAGGTGAACTCGGTCAAGTCCATATTCTTAGCCAAATACTGGACAAGAGGCGCTGAACTTGCCCAGGCTCCAGACCTTGGTACGAGGACATATTGGGCCTTTGCACGTAGACGACACTGACTACCTCTTTACTCTTTTCCCACCTCTGCCCCCACCTCCATCGTCCTGGTTCCGCCTTTTCTTTCCTTCCTTCCTCCAATATTCATCCCTCTCCCTCTTCTCTCTCTCCGCCTTTTTCTCTTCATTCTCCCTTACTTTCCTCCTATATGGTTCTTTCCTCTCCTCCTGCTTCGCCCTTCTCTTCTCCACCTTCTCTTTTCTAAGCGTCATGATTTTCTGCATCAGATCCCTCGCCCTCTTCTCTTCGCCTCCTAGTACTACCGCTCGCTTTTGTAGGTAGGTCTGTTTGCGTTGAGGAGCCATTTGTACGATTTGGGATTTGAAGGGAAGCTCAGCAGCGAGTCCGCGAGGGACGCGGAGAGGGTTGAAGTGTCGAGTTGGGCGCTCGATTGGCCGATAGGCGCTATTCTTTTGCTGGGGAGTTGGAAGATTTTGATCGGCGCGGACTTGACCCGTTAGGCGCATGCCTTTCCAGCCGGTATCGTCCATCTCATCTCTTGTTACTTCTGCAACATTTTCCAAAAGATTCGTCACTGGGTTGTAGAATCGATGCGGTTTGACTGGATACCATGCACGAAGGAAGACGATATCGCTCATGAGTAGTTTATCTTCGAAGGTAGCTCGGAAGTGACCTTCTGGCTTGGCGAGAGCTCGCTTGATTTGTCCTCTAATCCCACTCACTGTACGAATCGAGGCACCTTCGAATTTGGCGATCTCAAGGGATGTCGAGAACATATCTCGTATGAATGCAGTATTTTTGAAGATTTTGTATGGATGGCCGGTGAGCTTTAGCTTCTTCACAATCTCCGTACTCTCATCAACGTTGAGCACTACCCCTGTAGCTGCAATTCGGAAGGCGGGATTCTTGTTGGAGAAGGATTGGACACAGCAGAAGCCTGAATTGGGAGCGATGAGAGGTCCGAAGAAAGTACCGAAGCAGTGCATATGCTCAGGAGTGTACTTCAGCATGCGATTCCGGGTGCGGGAGTCGGAGATGCTATAGACCGGCAGTGTCTGGAATCTTCGCCAACCCATCGAAAAAATGAGAGGATCATTAGTCTTCAGGATTTTCTTGTGCCATCGATGTCTCTTGATTCTCACTTGAACAAAGCCAAACCGATCTTCTGTGGGAGCTAGGCCTCCGATAATGACTGGATATCTTGGATTGAAAGTCGCCGCAAACTCACAGGGCACCTTTTCCAATACAATTCTGGCATACGTGCCAGCTTTGTGTCCTTCCACCCGTACTCTCGAATTTACATCCAACGACTCGAACTCAGCGCGATTGATTGTGAGTTGTTTTTGTATATCAGCCTTTTGAGCATCATACCAGTCGTCTTCTCCGAACTCGCCCTCAGCATCCCCGCCACCATCTCCACGTTCTGCTTGTTTTCCAAAACCCTCTCGATCTTCTTCCTCGAAGCGAAGCTTGAGCTCCTCCTTTCGCCGAGCGTTCTTCTCTCTCTCTGCTTCAAGCGAGGTTTCCGCATTTTCTGGCGCATCACCAGTATTTGAGCTAGGCGCGGCTTCGAGGTCTTGAAAGTCGCCGTCACCCTCATCATCTTCATATGCGGAACCTCCGAGAGCACCTCCATCATCGCCATCCCTTTCTTTCAGAAGATTGGCCGTAGCAAAACGATGCCGCAGATTTTCAAGGTTGTCCGGATCACTCCATTTCTGGGCTAGAGTATCATAGTCGTATTGCGGAATGGACCGGTCCTCAAGATCCTCCGCTTCATCACCACGCTTTGCCTTCCGGAAGAAATTATCGTCCTCTTCCGCTTCTGACTCCGAAGCATTGCCATTGCCCAGAACGGATTTGTCATTCTCTCCTCTCCACTTGCGAACAACGTCGGCTGGTGATAGTGAATTGTCGTATAACATCTTAGCGAAGTCCGAGACTCGATACTGTCTCTGCTTGCTGTGTAGTTTTTGCGCATTCTCCTTTAGATTGGACTTCCATCGCAAGGCAGCGTCCTCTTCGTCGTCATCTTCAAACTCCGATTCGTCAGGTCCACTTTCCAGTTCTTGATCCTCCTCACTAGAGACAGAGCCGATCTCAGAATCACTCTCAGCAAAAGCTAAATCACCATCGACTCTACCGTTGGGCGAACCATCTTTTGAGGGCTTGAATGCACGGCCAAGCTTGTCCGCAGATATGTCCCCTTTCACCATAGAGCCTGCGTCGTCTTCCTCCTCCTCCTCCTCCGCCTCCTCCTCCTCCTCCTCTTCTCCACTGACGAAACCCTCGTCTTCCGGCTCAAGATCGTTGTCGCTAGGCTCTTGCTCCACGATCCTGGCTTTTCTCCTTTCCTTCCTGCCGGCATCGTTCTCGGTTGCCCCGTTCGTATCATCCTTGAGCATATCCCCACCAGTGAACAGCCTTACACCATCCTCTGCCTCTCCCAAAAGTCTTCTCTCGCTTTGTAATCCCACCACCATCTGCTCTCCCAAACCTCTCTCTTCACCCTTGGCGGCATCCTTATCGAAGTTCGAGGTCTTGACATCAATATACACAGCGTCTTTGTCCACCAATACACCTCCCACATCTGACATTGGTGCGAAGAGGACTTTTTGCTTTTCGCCCAAGCGTCGGCGCCCTGCTTTTCCTGATGCTTTGGCGATCGCTTGGTCCATGAAAGGTGTGGGACAAGGGTCCGGTAGAGCTTCGATTGCCGAAACGCTCAGGTCTCCAACCCCTGGAATATGGACTCGAGCTCCATCAGCAGGGAAATTGGTTCCTCTGAGATAGCCATAGAGTGCAATGGTCCGGTCACATTTAGGGTTCTCCTCTATTGTCGTAGGGGGCGTGACATCCAGCATACGATCAGCCAAGCAGTAAGGATGCGAGTTGCGCCAGATCAGCGGTCTCGGTTGCTTCATCACGGAGATAAACCGGGAAAGGTTGTGCACTTCTCGATCCGGATATCTCCCGTTGATCACCCCGGACAAGTAGAACAGCTTTGCTCCTTGATATAGTTCGCTCCAGAACCTGTGCTTCAACCTCTTCTTCGCATCTTTCAGAGTACTTGGCTTTCGAAAAAGATCGAGGTGGGTCAGGATACCGAAGACATTGCCAGGCATACCACTAGAAGCCAGCACATTCAAAAACTCCATCGTCTCCATCTCGAAGCCAAAATTGCCGTCTATCATGAGGAGAACAATGTCAGCTATCTTTGAGACATCAATCATACTGGCGAGAGAATCTGCGGGACATTCTATGAAGGTGAGACGCCGGCGCTTGGATGTAACGACGGTGAGGGGACCACTTGGAGAGCTGAGGTTGTGCTTTGTGTATCGTTTGATCAGAGACTTTATGAGTGTAGTTTTTCCAACCCCCGGTGGGCCAACGACGGCAACAATAATTGGAGGCGCTTCTTCCGGCAAGCGGTCCACGAGAGGGACATGGAGGCGTTTCTCTTTGATATCGTGGGAGCGCACAGCTTGCTTAGCAAGCCGACCTGGATTTGCATAGCCAAATGCTTTTGGATTGCGGTCTCCAGTATGCTTCTTCTTCTCTTTCGTCTTACGGTGGGGCCTATTTGCTTGGTCCTCCATGTCTGTGATGGTAAAAGGCCCACTACTCCTCCTCCGAAGCAAAACTCTCGCTTCACTTTTATAATTTTGATTGACATGGGGAGATCGGCGAAACGTTTAGCCGTGCGTACGTCATCTGGTACCCTGCATTAGCGTGTTTTATCTGTCAGAGTGGGGCTGTGGGGGTTTATCCGTGAGATAAAGTACTTTAAGTAGGTCAATGCGCATTGCATACGTCTTAAAGGTCCTCAAATTCGTCATCCCACCCTTTTTCACATCTCACAACATCAATCAATCAATCAAGCCAACATTCCAAAGCAACATCAAAACTATCATACCAAATCTCAGCAGAGCATTCTGTGCACCAGCCACAACAACGAACCTCAAGATGCCTACCATGTTCAATGTTCGTCCCGCCGAACAGCTGCAGCCTAGTCATCCTTGCTAATGACGAGCCTCGACAGATCACCTTGAAGCAGGGCGCTTCTCCCGAGCAGATTGACAAGTACATTAGATCTGGTGTAACCACTCGTGCTCCCACCAGCTAAGATGTTTTCAGAGCCAAGGAGAGCGCCAAATCGCAGGGCGGGACCATTAAGCATGAGTTCACCTTGATCAAAGGCTTCACGTACGTCCGGAACACTCATACCACCTTTCAGTGATTGCTGATCTACTACCAATAGTGTTGAGTTCCCCAACGACACCGTCCATACCCTCCAGACCGATGACCATATCCACGTTGAGCAGGATGGGGAAGCAAGAACTCAGTAGGACGGCATTGAGACCCATGACAAGCGTCGTGGTGAATGGATGGGCATGGAACATGGTCAGCGAGCCGGAAAACATCTCGTTAAGAGAGAAAAGTCATGGTCAGGGATTGCATTACTGGCTGTCATTGCTTCTGAAGCAGAGGGGGGAGATGCATGGTAATGGCTTGACCGTATGGCAAGATTTACGAAAGCACATGACCTAGCAGCCGAGCTTCTACCTCGCGTACCAAGATACCATTCCTCATCTCTCTTTGTACTATTCGCCAAATCCCAACACTCTCCCGTCTCGTCACCGTGACCACGAGACCACTGCCAAGCCATGAGAAATGTGCCCTGCCCTCACCTTGTATTAGGCCTAGGGTGAGCGGCGCTCTCTTGGAGCCATGTTGATTCGTCTCGAAGCTACTTTAGATATCAGGGTTCCTTGGTAGATTATCTGCATTCAAATACCAGAATTTGAGCTATTGCGGTAGGTAAATTTTATGAAAAGGCAAGTCAATCTGTAAAGAACGAAACAGCGTGAATCAAGTAGGCAAATCAATTGCCGAAGTCGAGTTCCGAATTGTCGTCGGAGTCGAGTTCCAAATCGTCATCAACATCATTATGTTCTCCCTCTCCGTGCTCCTCTTCCTGATCATCATGGTCATATCGTCTTTCCCGAGCCTCACGCGCATCACGAACATTCTTTTCATACTCTTCATTACTGTCGCTTGCACTCTCTTCTTCATCAGGGCTCGAATCTGGATTATTGTCCATGTTATGTGCACGAGCATCGCGAGCTTGATCACAGCGTCTCCTGCTGATTCTCAGTGATTTTATCGGAATGGTGCTCTTAGTCTACTCACTCTAGCTCCTCAATTTCACCATTCCACCTCTCTACATCCGCCATCCGCTTATCTGCTTCCTCTTCAACCCCGTCATGACAACCGCCTGTCCACCTTGCGTTCCACTCGTATCGTCGACTAGCCTCACTATTCGGAAGGCTTGGTCAATACAGTCTGCCTTTTCGGTGAAGTGACCAAGGGTTCATGTCCTTACTCAAAAGCCCAACCTCGTGCTTCGCGAGCGTTCTGAAGGCGCAGCTCCATTGAATCACCATTGTCTTCTTCACGGGGATGATAGTCATTTCCGTCGGCGTCCACGTCGTCTCCATACTTAAACCTTCTCGCCGCCCTTCCTGCATTTTCCTGAGCGATCTTATATGCCTCATGTTCACGCGCCCGTGGATCATTGATATCATATCCGTCAGATCCGCTGTCATAGTCATCTTCACCGTCGGACATGATGCCAGGTACGATCGTGGAAGACTGATGACTTGCAGGGACGAATAATGTGAAACACGTTACTCCCTAACCGTCGCGATTCGAGGTCTGCAGTGCCTATGGGAGTAGATTTTGTTGGATAGACCCTTCAATGATCAGGATGCGTGACTTGACATTGGTGCCAAGGGCCAATTTTCAGCACATGTTCTGGTTTGGAGCGAACTTCCACAGCCAGGGCGTGGCAGAAGACATTGGCTGAAGTCGAAGTGGGCAATATGCAAGCCGATGTGCCACCTACGCCCGGTTTCTATGATAGATAGTTTCATAGGCTGAAGTCGAAGTGTGCAATATGCAAGCCGACGTGCCACCTACGCCCGGTTTCTATGATAGATAGTTTCATTGGCTGAAGTCGAAGTGGGCAATATGCAAGCCGATGTGCCACCTACGCCCGGTTTCTATGATAGATAGTTTCATAGGCTGAAGTCGAAGTGTGCAATATGCAAGCCGACGCGCCACTTACGCCCGGTTTCTATGATAGATAGTTTCATAGGCTGAAGTCGGAGTCTAAAATATGCAAGTCGACGGATATGATGGCTAATTTCATAGGACCTGGCCGCCTGCACCGGGTTCCCTGTGTCAGAAATAAGTAAATCCCTCGGTCAGAATGGATCTGGCGACGCGGTACCCCAACCCTCGGTATACGCCCGCCATGCTCCTGCCCCACGGAGCGGAGAACTACACAGGGCAGTTCACGCTCGCGCAGAGGGGAGATGGGAGCTGAGTGGTGATTGACTTTTGGAACATATCTCTTGATCTATTAGAGAATGAACGACACGAGGCTGGCGTGTGCAACTGGCAGGTCACGTCACCCGACTCAGAGCGGAAGAGGGGACTCCTTGGGGTAGATAGATCATGGGAGGTTTGAAAGACGAGGAAGCGACTGTCAATTGTATGATAAAGGTGACACGGCACGTAGGTTGTGTTTGGATATTGGCGGTTGGGAACATTGTGCAGGTCTCGTGCTCGCCTTTTACTTCTCACCAGTGTCCATAAAGTACTTATTGCTCTAGGATTAAATGATATTGTATCTCCATCTGAAGGCATCAAAGACTTTCCGTGGGGTGACTGCAATGTAGCCCTACCAGCGAATATGGGGTTGAATTAGCGTGTGCAGAAAACGTTGGAATACTTGGCACTGAGAAAATCACACACACACCACCAAAAGTAGTACTGAATAGATGAATCTTCTCCCATATCGCATTCTACCACCTTCCTCATCATATTTGAAGCTCCTGTATATCTCGCTTAGCCGATCCTTGGTGTTTTGCCTTAGTGTTTCGAAATGCCTCCCAATCGACGCAGAAGCGCCTCCTCTTAAGAGTCCTTGATATCGTGGACCGATGTGCGAACAGGCCCTACTCCTCCCAAAGAAACCAGACTATCTCTTTCTGCATAGCCCATGGCTAATCTTCGAGATACTTAATAAGGAAGTCTTCGGCGGCCGAGTGAAGCTTGCGAGGGGTACCTTTAGGGCGAAACTGTGGCTTATAGGCCGAGCTATATATAAAGAGATACTCTTAGATATTATAGACCGTCTGCACGTAGCAGTGAACGTCCTAGACGATAACATCAGGTCTCCAGTGCAGGAGTAGTAAACGAACGATTCTGGACCGAATAGGCGGAGGTAAGCCCCTTCTATTGATCGTTGCGAGGGGTATTTCGAAACAACAGGAATTGGCTAAGCGAGATATACAGGAGCTTTAAATATGATGAGAAAAGTGATTGAATGCGATATGGGAGAAGATTCATCTATTCAGTACTACTTTTGGTGGTGTGTGTGTGATTTTCTCAGTGTCAAGTATTCCAACGTTTTCTGCACACGCTAAAATGCCAAGCCCGCTCCACCGCTCCGCAAGACCCCCCCCACTCTACGTAGTGCCCCGTCCAGGAACCAGCACACAATGCCAGCAATGCCAGCAAGACCAGCAATCCTAGACCCGTGTCTCATTCGCATCGTCTGCCCATTGAAACAGCGGTCAAGGCGTCTTCTTGCAACTGCTACGCATCAATTGCCCAGAAACCAACCATGGTCCCATCCGCCCGCATCTACCAGCATCGACAATGATCAAGTAGCCCGCCTGGCTTCTCGACCGTTACATCCTTTGACATTGGCAGATCTCGTCCAGTATCATCCCTGACTCTTTACATCAACATCCACCCACTGACATACAACCCCCAGACACGGCCGTCCCCCACTCTCCGCATCCACTCTGTTCACCTCCGCGAATTTCACCCTCTCTCTGCTGCCTATCCGCCTCGCCCACCGAATCCAAGCCCTCCGCAACCTCCCCTTCATCGTCGTCTCGAACCCGCACATCTCCCGCATCTACAACAACTATGTCCACTCCCTCTCAACTTTGCTCCCCTACCAAGAGCGGCAAATCAACACGCTCGAGGATGAGATCCAATTCACGGAAGTGATGGCAGATTTGGTGCAGACACATGCGGATACCATACCCATACTGGCCCGTGGGTTCCTAGAGTGTAGGAAATACATCAGCCCGGGGGATGTGACCAGGTTCCTGGATGAGCATCTGAGGGCCAGGATTGGGACGCGATTGATTGCTGAGCAGCATATTGCGCTCCACCTCTCCTCCCAACCCCACTGTACCAATAACGACCAATATGGCCAAGACGGCTCATCGACCTCCATCGGCGTAATCGACACAGCGCTTCGCCCCGCCGAAATCATCCGCCAGTGCGAATCCTTCGTCTCGGAAATCTGTGAGCTGAAGTACGGCGTACGCCCCACGGTCATCATCAACGGCCAGCCAGACACCAGACTCGCCCATGTACCCACACACCTCGAGTACATCCTCACGGAGCTCCTCAAGAATGCGTTCCGAGCTACGGTCGAAAGCGGCAAGGAACGTGACCCGATTGAAGTCACAATAGCAGCCGCGCCAGACCCATCTCCCTCGCCGCCTGAATCCATACACCTTGATCCCTCGCGAGCGGATCCCACAACCTCCAACACACCACCGGGCGTCACGATCCGCATCCGTGATCACGGGGGTGGGATATCGCCCGAGAACCTCGACAACATCTGGGCCTACAGCTTCACGACCTTTGGCGATGAAGAACTGCTCGACCTCGGCAACGGCAACGCGGACGCTCTCAACGCCATATCCGGCGCGGGTGGCGACTCGAGCAGCCTTGCCGGTCTGGGCTACGGTCTACCGCTCGGCAGGGCGTATGCGGAGCATTTCGGCGGCAGCATCATGGTGCAGAGCCTCTGGGGGTGGGGGACGGATGTCTACCTCAAGCTCAGGGGGTTGGGAAAGATATAGTGTGCGCATACATCCAAGTGTGGGGGGGGGGGACATGCGCAGAAGCAGGAGATGAACCATGATGAAGAAACGAAGTCATGACAAGAATGTAATATATACAATCCCAACGCTCTCTCCACAAACATCCATATCGATCATCACATCAAACCAAAAGTATCGGCTATCCCGCATTCCCAGAACCATTATGACGCATAACCCCCCCCCTTCCCCCCGCTCATCCCTCACAGCACAACCGCCGCGACCGCGACCCCCAACCCCAGCCCAGCGCCCCACGCGTCAGCCCCCCGCGCAGCGGCGGCGCCTTGAAACCCCACCCCCCTCAACCCGGACGCGACGGCGCCGCCCAACCCCGTCGCCGCCGCCGTGGACGTGTGCCCGGCGAGCGTGAAGACGGACTGCGGACCGAGACGGTACGCCGTGCCGCCGAGGGAGAGGACGGAGTCCGTGCCGAGCGACACGACGGTGCCGTCGATCGTGTATGCCGCGCCGCCGGGGGTGAAGCTCTTGGCGCCGAGGACGAATCCGGTCGCGTGGGCCGTGAAGGCGGCGCCGGCGGCGGCGAAGACGCTTTGGGGTGGCAGGACCGTGGGCGAGGAAGCCAGGACGAAGGTCCCGCCCGTGCCGAGGCTGACGATCGTTCCCGACGTGGTCAGGGCTCGGCCGCCGGGCGTGAGGGTGGTGCCTCCGATTGCGAAGCCGGAGGGCTGGGGCGTGAATGTCGCGCCGGCTGCTGTGTGGATGGATGGCGTGGCGGGTGGCGGTACGGTGGGGATGGCGAGGGTGGAGGAACCGGATGGGTCGGCTGCTACGATGCCGGCGTTTGACGGGAGGGCGGAGTATGTTGTGCCGGAATACACGGCAGCGCTGCCGTCGGCGGAGAGGGAGGCGCCGTTTGGGAGGAGGTAGTTCTGCGGTGTGTCTGGAGAGGTGGACGGTTGAGCTGTGACGACGAGGCCGTTTGCGAGGGTCAGAGGACCGGGTGCTACGATTGGTGGGGGGGAAGAGGTAGCGGCTTGGATTTGATATGCATCCGTGGCTGCTGGAAGGGCGTAGGTATTGCCGTCCATGATGAGGCTCGAGGAGCCGGCGAGGGAGTAGACATGGCCGCCTATTGCGGCTGCACTGCCGGGTGCGATGGTCGTGCCGGCTGTTATGAGACCGCCGTCTGTAGCTCGTGACAGGGTTTGACCGCTGAGGACGAGCGGATTGGAAGAGGAGACAGGAGCGAGGTTGTGAGTGACGCCGTCTTCGATCACCTGGCTTGGATTGGCGTAGTCTATCACGTGGTCGTCCATCGTGGTGTGGGTGCCCGGGACGAGGGTCCGAGATCCGATCTTCAAGCCGCCATTGGTCAGTTGCAGAAGTTGGTTGTTGACGAGGAGTGAGGGTGCGGAAGGTGTGGTGGGGGAGGGAGCGTAGGTGGAGCCGTCCATTATGACGGCAGAAGGGGCGTTGGCGATGGTGTGGCCGGAGAAGATGGCTGTGCTGCCTGGTGCCAATGTTGAGCCAGAGAGCAGGATGTTTCCCGAAGTGTCTTTGGTGATCGGTTGGCTGTTGACTGAGGCAATGGGTGCTGGATTGGTGTTACCATCGCCGTTCGGACTGCCGCTGGTACCATCGTTTATGCCGCCATTCGACCCGCTATCAGTGCCTCCACTGGTGTCTTCTTTAGTTCCAGTCGTACCGCCGCTGGTTCCTCCACTCGTGCCTCCATTCGTGATACCACTGTTGCCGCCCTTCGAGCCTCCGTTGGCACCACCAACCGCATTCCCAGTTTTTCCACTAGTAGCGCTGGTACCGCCGTTCTCCTTTGCCGTATCTACAGGCTGCTGAGGTAAGAGAGTGATAGGAGCAGTGGAAGGGTCATTGTTCCCAGTTGCAGAGTCGGTGCTGGGATCAGTTCCCGGGTTCGTCGCTGCATTCGCCCCTGACTGCTTCTCTGTATCGACTGGCGTAGTTCCCCCTCCAGAAGCCCCAGGATCGCTGTTAGAGTTGCCAGAGCTCGGATCCGAGTTCGGGTCTGAACTCAAGCCTGCGTTCACTGCACCACTGTTTGCAGTGTTTGGTGGACTTTCGTTTTGCTCACCCACGGAACCATTCACCGGATCCACAACAGCAGCCACTGGATCCGAGTTTGATTTCGAATTCGAGCCTGCTTTTACGACATTACTGTTTCCAGTCGCTGGCGAGCCTTCGTTCTGCGCAACGACTGAAGGATCAACAGGATCCACAACAGCAGCCACTGGGTCAGACTGCGCAGTGGTAGGCGTTGCCGTCCCCGCATTATTGCTACCGGGATCGTTTGCTTTCACGCCGTTGTTAGGTTCAGCGCTAGTTGCAGCCGTGGTGGGAGCAGCGACAGGAGACTTCAAAGTTGCCGCTGGAGACGGAGGTGCTTTTTCAGCCTGTGGATCTGCAGCCGGCGTCGGCACAGGTGCGAGAGCGGTAGCTTTCTGCAGCACCCGCGGTGGATCGTAGACGCCTAAATTGACCGGCGTGCAAGTGCTTCCACCCCAAGTCGCCCACACCGGATCGATGTCCGTAACGTCGGGCGGAAAAGCGAGCTGGGGCTTCACGAACATCATGGAAGCGAAATCGGCACTGATGGAATGTCCCGGAAAGCAAGACTGATATCTGGTAAGGAGGTCTGAAGCCGGCGGAGGATCGTAGAGCTCCGAAAAATCGATTTGCCTCCAGCCGTTGTCGATGCCCTGAAAGCAGTACGCGGGATTGTTCTGGTCGGCTACAGGAGAGATACAATATTCGATGCCCGCACCCATGTTCTCAGCCTCGCAGATTGCAGTAGAGAGTCCGTTGGGGTCATAGGCACGAGTGACTGCAGTATAGGCTGATCCTATGGGTATGTGGCTGTTGAACAGCGCCACACACGATGCTGAGGCTTGTATTGAGCTGTAGATGACATAGACTGAGGGCGAGATGCTGTTATTCAAATTAGCTAAGTACCTTACACCTGTTTGGGTATTACTCACAAGGTGAATCCATTTTCGACGATGCCATAAGATGCCGCTGATTGTACTGGCGCTGCAGTCACATTCCAATTACTTGAGCCGGTAGTATTTGTTCCGCTCGAAGAGTTTGATGGGGCATCTGCAGGTGGCCAGTAAACGAGCTGCACGGCGCTGGCGGCCACTTCACATTTGTCGCAGCAGCTCGTCGGAGCAGGGTACGGGGTTGCCAGCTCCGTGATAGTATTGTAAGAACATCCCAGAGTCTGAATATCCAGAGCTTCATACAAGTCGTAGCTCGATTGACACTGTTGTGAAGTAACCGTTGCGGTGGCGTAGTCGTGATACCACTTAGCGGCACTGTTCACGCACGAGCATGATTTGGCGTTGTATCCATCAAAGCCAGGGCTCATCGAACAATTTCCCCCATAGGGCATGTCCAAGACTCCTTGGTCCCAGTTGAGGGGTAAGCAGTCATTGGCGGGAAACAGCCCTGATGTGATCAGACTCGAGGCAATAGAGACGGGTCCACCACAGACGTTCGTTTGATTTAACGGTTTAGTGACGTTGAACGGGTTTCTCATGGACGTAATGGAAGCGGGAATTGCGGAACTGAAGGCCCCAGAGGCTGAATATGACGCTGAAGCGGTGATTCCAGGCACGTTCTTCTCTTTCTGATCGACGTTGAACTTTGGGAACCCAGACGAATTCGAAGATCCGTTGAAAGCGGCATGAACCTCCGGTGGAGACCATTGCGGGAAAGGGGCGGAAGACGAAGAGACAGCTGGGGAGGCAAAAGAGATGGAAGCGGAGGAGGCGGTCGTCAAGCCTTTTGTACTCAAAGATAGTGATGAGCCACTAGGGCTACTGGCGGAGCTTTGGAGCCATCCCAATGAGCTGCCAGGCCCATCAGACGAGCTCACAGAGGATCCAGACGAGATGCTATGCCAATTTGTTAAGTATGTGATAGAGGCTGTAGATGTGGACGAATAGTGAGGCGCAGAAGTAGCAGCGAGCGAGCTGCTGTTGGTTACCAAGGGAATTTGGGGTATCGAAGAACTTAAAGATGCTATGTACAATTGAGCGCGAAGTCAGCGTCTGGTAAACCAGTTAGGGGCAAATTTCACAGCGCCAATTGAAATGAATCCTTCCTGCATGCCTCTAACTTGACAAACAGGCACGATGCCTGGATTCAGGCCACTTGGAGACTGAGAAGGGAGTCCAACGTACAAGGCCGGGCATTCGATATTAGAGCGAGTGAGAGTGCGAGATAAAGTCGAGAAGCGGCGCGGATGCGCATACTGAGTTTGAAGATCATTAACATGAATGTTGGTAAAAAGAGTGTAAGTACTCTGATGCCATAGCCATCAAGAGTCGCAACAATGAGAGCAACACACTGGACAAGGATTTATATTCCTCGCACACGACCGAGTAAGTGTCGACGACGTGGTCAATTGTGTGGAGGGTAGCATTATATTATTGCAGTGGCTAAACGCCTGAGTAATCTTGCATCTTACTATATTGCTGACATGCTTGGCGAGCTGAGCCGCAAAGCTGAAGAACGCCATGAGTGGGTAAGGAGAGGAGACGACGGGAAGACAGATGACTGGTTGACAGGTATGAAGAGGGAAAAAGTCATCAAAAGTGTAAACAACAAGCGGTTTGACCAGGCGATTCCCAATCATCTTCTTTGCTTTCACATGGGCTAAAGGCAGAAGGAGAAGAAATAAGGCAGGTTTCATCCCTTTCACCAATGTCGTAACCGTAAGCGAGGCAACTGTAACGTCCATGCAGGAATCTGATATAACTCGCAGAGACAGCAAATTGCACGTGTCCATGCTATATCTACCGACAGGACAAATGCCTCGATCACATTCCTGCTGAAGCGGAGATGACTGGAAGCTCGAAGAGACGAGGTGAGGAAAGGGTTTTCTGCAGGCTGCAGTGCAGTAAGATAAAGTACCTAGTGCAAGCGACCTACGCTAACATATTGAGTTTGAGCCTCAAATCTCGGCAATCATCTCAGCTTCAGCCGATTGGGTCTTCATATATCACACTAAGAAAAGTACCGTCAACCAGTCCACCCTAGAATATCGCTGGCGCTTACTCACTCTGTGAACGGCTTTCCACTTTCCACTCCCTCAATCCTTCACACCAATGACCTACTCGTGCCGTCCAGAAATGAGTTATCCGGCTAAGATTTTAGCGTCTTGGCGTGACGTTATCCCTCACTCGAGGACGACGGTGCTCGGTAGGGAAATTATTTGGGGTCCCTGATTGGTCAATTGAGTAGTAGAAAGGCCTAGGGAGTCACGTACACACATATGTAGTTGTCATTGTTGTCATTTCGTTGATTTTTTGATATTTGATAGGAGAGTGTGCCGCTCTACTTAGTTTCATGACGAAACGCATAATACTAGGAAATGCGGAATCTTAAATCTAATACGTCCAATCCAATACTTAATATCTACTTCTCATCAAAATTCTATAGTAACTCCGTATAATAAGAATTAATAATTCTAGTTCTTTCTTGCTATTAAGGCTTCTATATCGAGAAACTTAGATTATTATTTTTTAGATCTTATCGATCTACTAACGCGTAAAAATCGTATCTCTTTTATCTTACTAAGTATCTTACTACGAAGATATTATAGTAAAGATTACGACGAAGTTCTTATTAAAGCGAATAATAATAATCTTAGTAAGTCTAATATAGAAGATGTAATAGCTATTTAAATAAGTAATAGTAATAGCTATAATAGTAATAGCCAGCTATATCGAATTTATTAAATTTAAAAATTCCGTATTTCCTAGTATTATGCGTTTCCTTATGAAACTAAGTATCAGCTTCTTTCTCTACAAAATAAGGTGTATTTTAGTACGATTTCCAGGAGATCTGGGTAGATTGATTGGTGGGTTCTCCCGGCGCTATTAAGCGAGATAACTCACTTCTACGTTACGTCTAAATTCAGCTCACTACGACGCCGTCTCATAGGAGAATTAGAAACACAAGGGTCTTCAACTAGTAAGTCGCGCGGCAGGCTGATCGCAATCTCGGTACCTGTTATTACTAGAAAACGTAGTTTACTAGAAAATGCAATTTTTTTAAATTCAATAAATCCGGCGCAATATTAAAATATCTATTTTCTACTAAAATATAACTTAACTCACCCTAACGCACTGAAATCTATATTCTAAAGAGTATAAACTATAGAGTATATTCTATAGTATAATTCAGAATTTAAATAATATAAATTAATCTATTATTGGCTGAGTAATAGTTAATAAAAGAATTTAGAATTATCTATCTTAATTATAACTTACTTCTTAATTAATAATAATAACTCCACAGTAATTATAGGAGCTTTATACTTATAAACATTATAATTAATATATATTACTATCTATTATTCGAGTTTAAGATTAAGCGATCTTAGATAAGAGATAATAGATTAGCTAAAGACGAAAAATCTCGCTTAGCTATCAGCGAGTAAATATTATATTTAATATTAATATTTACTTTAGAGTTATTAAACTTTCTTATTATAATAAATTTAACTTATAAAAGTAGCTATATATCTTTATAGATTATAAGATATATATTATTATATTATCTAATTACTATAGAATTCTGGTGAGAAATAGACATTTTAATGTTACGTCGGATTTATCGGATTTTTAAAAACTGCATTTCCTAGTAAACTGCGTTTCCTAGTGATAACAGGTACCTTCTGGGCTAGATTCCCGGATGGAACGCTCCCATGTGTGTGTAAGTACTTACCGTATGGAGTCTGGAGACTTGGAGATGGTACACCACCACCATGACTGAGCCGAGCGGCGTACAGATTGTATGTGAAGAATGTAGTTCTATTATCCTCCGATACTGAATTCTGAATATCTTTTCCATATTCTATTCCAAATCTTTCAAGGCTTGAGGAGTGTGCAACTCGGCGGGAATCTGGGGGATCAAGCCAAACATTCATGGATTTGGAAGCCATCACGGACCTGCAGCTCGCCATGTTTGTAGGGAAGCAAGCCCATGGTTGACGACTGGTGGGTGGACTTTGGGAATGAACATGCTAGCTATCTTGAGGGATGAGCCTGTTCCTCCTAGCACAAACCTCAGGCACTGGTCCTGTTTTTGACCAGTCGTCGATCTCTGTACATATATTCCAATCCTTGGCACCGGCCAATCTTACAGTTCGAATGCTCAATCAAGACGCCGTCTCGTCCAGTGGTATCAGACGAAACAAATTCCAAGCAACCTCATCAGACTCTGTACAGCGTTCTCCCTTTGGAGCTTTCAACCTCCACCACTCCACCAGCATCTTTTCCTTTTCCCCTCGGCACCTCTTCCACCACCTCAACGGCGTAAAGATCTCGCTCTCGCTCTCGCTCTTCTCGTCTTTTTGGCCGCCGCGACTCCACTACTGCTCTTGCTCCTCCCAACCTCTCTGCATGTGCTGGGGGGTGCTTGTGCACAGGAGCGGGTGCAATATTCTTGGCCGTGCTTCCATGCTCGCTCTGGGAAGCGGCTGACGGTCTTCGCTTGCTATCTGATGCTGCAGCTGCATGCGAAGTAGTGCTCTTTGCATGACCGCCATGTTCACTCTTTGACCCGGCCCCATGCTCACTTTTGCCTCCACCGTCATGCCCATGGTACTGACTCGCCGAGGTCCTCCGCTTTGTGGGTGATGCCTCTACGATGTTTGCCTCTTTCGCCAGTGTACTGCCGCTCGCCTCTTTCTCGCCGCTCTTACTTTTCTTCTCCCCATGCCTCCCACCTACCGCTGCCACTGCCCCCAGCGCCGCGGATTTCGTGGTCTCTTTATTTCCCCTGGCCGCCTTACTCGTAAAAGCTTTCTGCCCATTCGACGCCCTACTTACGCCCAACTTCTTCAGTCCGGACGCGCTCTTTTCATGAGGCGCTTTGGCATTCTCGAGCTTCGATTGCGCAAGCTGTTTCTTCAACCTTGCAATCTCTTTGTCTTTTTGTAATGAGCCTGACGAGGTCTGGCCTGCCCGTTTTCCGGTACCCTTCTTATTCGTCGTCCGCTCCTCTTCGTCCTCCCCCTCTTCCTCTTCTTCGGTGGCCTTCTTCCCCGTGGACTTCTTGGCCTCAGCCTCTTTTTCGTCCCCACCGGTGAACTGCTTTTTCGCGAAGTTCTCCAGCTGTTGTGGCACGGCGAAGGCTTTACGCTCGAGATAGGACTGGCCGACGCGCTCGATGAAGTCTTCCATTGTGGCGTAGCAGGATCCGTAGGTCACTGATCACAAAGGCAAGTGGACCTCGTCGGGGCAGGTCTTAGTCGTTCACGCGCCAGCATAGAGAGGCAGTAGGCATTCGCAATCGGGGTCGGAGAAGCAGGGACGGCGACCACTCTGGCGGATAAGACATAAAGGGGAAAACCCCAATGCCTTGTTTTCATGACATGCCATGGGTGCTTCAACGATGTCATCGGCCAGGCCTAGACGCGAATCGTCTCTAGCTTCATCCTAGCGACAACCTAACGGCGGCGGCGCTTTTAAACCTCAGCCAGCGCTAAGTGTCAATACAGATATAACCATTAGCTCCCTTTTCACCCGTAGATTAATTCTTTAAGTCTTTCACGAGGGAGAACTTGATAGCTTAATCATAACTTCTTGAATCTTATAGTATACATAAAGCGAGATGATGTCTTCTATTCAAAACATGTGTTTAATCCTCAAATTATAGCGCGGCGAGATCAGAAATATAGAATCTCCTCTTTGGATACTCGGTCCTAATAAGTGCATTATTACATACGCTATACTTTAGATTCGCTGAGGTTTAAAAGCATTTTCGAGGGAACTAGTGCTGTCTCGCGTAACGTTTCATAAAAACTATACGTATAAATAAGTTTTAAATAATAATTAGCTAGATCTTAAGGCTTAATTATATATAGATAATAATCTACTATATAGCTTAACTCTAGAAAAACTCTCTCTATATAAGATAAAAGATTTAGAATTTAAATATAAGAAAATACTAAAAAATAAGACGCGGGTAAGTGAGAAAAGATTAAAAGACCTCTTTTTACGATAAGAGAAATAAGAATAAGAAGTAAGAAATAAAGGAAATATAATCTATTTAAGACTCTTCTAATATAGTAGTCTTAATTATTTTATTATAAATATATATTATATCTCTCTCTTACTAGCTCTTAATTAAATTATAGCGATTAATATTATCTCGCGTAATATCTTATAGAAACTATATATATATATATATTTTAATTAATAATTAATTAGATTTTAAGATCTAGCTATATATAAATAGCGATTTACTATATAGCTTAATTCTAAAAAAACTTCTAAAATAGATTTATATCTAATAAAAATATATTAGCTTTAAGCTATATAAGAATAATAAAAATAATATAATATAGCGAGAATATAGATTAAATATATTTCGATATATAGATAACGAGTAAAGGCCTATAAATTAAATTCATAATCGTTTTTTTTGATTAGAGCTGTCGAGTAAATTTAATAAGCGAATTTTAATAAGCG